AGTACTGAGGTCAATTTGGTGTTACATTACAGATGTCTTATATAGTTTGCTGTTCTACTATATTAATTTAATATTTATTTACTAGGATATCCATATGAAGCTACATATGCAGCTAGTAAATTTGCACTTCATGTAAGTCTTTCTTTTGTTTTTTTGTTTTTTATTCAAGAGTAAAAACATTTTTACTTAAATATAGCTGCAAAATTTAACCGCCCAACATTTGTGGTTATTTCAGGGTTATTTTGATAGTCTTCGTATGGAGTTAAGTGATTCCAACATCAATATTCAGCTTGTGTGTCCAGGACCTGTCCAGTCAAATGTGGCAGCTAATGCTTTTACATCAATCAAGGACAAGGTAAATTACACATTGTGAAGGAGCCCAATATTTTTCATTTTCTTTTTTTTTTTATTATTTCATCAGTCATTCTGGAGTCAAACAATATAAATGCTTGTCAGCATAGTTTGATTTTGTCATGTATTTTCCAGTAAATACAGTTGACTCTACCATAAGCAACCATCCTTTTTACAAGAGGTTATATGGGAAAAAATGGGAATTTAAAAAGGTGGTTACTTATGGGATATGGTCAAGTACAAAAGTGGTTCAAAAGGAGTCTAGTATTTGAGATATTATGTGAAACTAATGGATTATGCTAATCTAGCTGTTTTTTTTATTATTATCAAGAGCTTTAAAGACTTACCGTCGTACACTGATAATGGCATACGAATGCCAACAGAACGTTGTGCCTATCTTATGGCTGTTTCAATGGCAAATAGATTGGATGAAGTTTGGATTTCAACTCATCCCATGCTGACTTGCACTTACATGAGCCAATACATGCCAACAGTATTCCGATGGTACGTTTGAGTTATTTTACATTGAAAGACAACTTTACCTGTCAAAAATCACATGGTTACTATCTTGATTTATGTTTTGATAGGTATGCAAAAAGAAACTTTCTCAAAATCATGAAAAATAACTACTTTAAACAGTAATGTAGGTATTTGCAAACTATTCATATTTTTGTTTTGTTTAATTTTTTTTTTGAAGTATACATGAATTACCAGCATGTTTTGTTTCTGTTTTTAACATTCTTTTTTATTGTATTTCAGACCAGCACATTGAGAGTTGCAGCTTTTACGTATTCCCAGGCATCTGATGTAGAACAATGAAACAGTGTCAGCTAATATATCAAAACAAAAGTCCTTGATTTTTGGAGGTGATTGTGTGGCAGATTCACAGAAACCAGCCTGATCAATGAATTGATGTTTGGAAAAAAATCTTGTAAATCTGAATGAAAGAATCGTTCTCGTGTATTTTTTTAATAGGGGGAAATAATAAAGATCAAACAGAACTTTTTAAAATCGTCTTTAATTTTTTATCAAAAAGACTGTGAATTCCCTAACCTTATTTATGCAGCCTAATAAAGTATTATTTTTAGATGCGTCATTGCCACTGGTTTTGTTGTCCCTCAACAGATCAGCTGTTTTATTGGTCTTTAAATTAACCCGCGTTATTGCTCATCACCAGGCCATTCTCGTGCATAGTATTTAGAAATTATATTTGGAGTTTTAAACCTTTTTTGTGCGCATGTAGCTTTGTGGGATCAACCGTAGAACTTCACAGAATGTTCTCAAACGCGAGAGGTTGGTTATATGCAGTGAAGAGAGCGAAGGCAGTTTTTGGTTCTTCTCGACTACCGCAGGATGTTTACACTGCAGGCTCAAAGGTCTGATATTCTGCAAACATGTCTACCGTGTTCAAGTATTTAGCTATAATTCTCCCTTTCTTTGTAGTATTGAAAATAATTGGTCTGTTAAAGATTTTATCGATAACTATTCCATTAYTAGCTGCAGTTTATTTCTTACTGCAATATCAAGATGCTGACTTAACAGTCCATTTTTATGAGAAGTTTGGTTTGCAACCACGTGTTGCCCTGAAAGATAAAGTAGTTTGGATCACCGGTGCTTCTAGCGGTATCGGAGAATACTTAGCTTACGA